AGCCAATCGTATATATCGGGTGGCCTTAGCCGGGTGCTTCAGTCGCGGTTCAAACGTTCCGGTGGTAACAAGGAGCTCCTCGACAAGCCTTAGAGCGGGAACTCGTGTATAAACTGTAGCTAACTTACGAAGAACACAGCCATGGATAACAAGGTAATGGGTGATGAGAGTGTGGTTCGGTTGTTTGTTCGAGTGATTAGTTTGGAATTTGCGATGGTAGTTTTTTTGGGTTAAACTGTACTTTCACATTTTTTTGGTGGTTTTGTGCAAATTGTACCAGTAGTGTGTTTTTTATAGTTTCATTTAGTTTTTCATCCGTCATTAACGTTCTCTTTTAACTGTATGTTGGGTCGTGTATCAGTGCATAAAAGAAGGCCTCAGTATATCGTAGGTTAATTACCACAATAACTGGGAAGCAGGTCCTAGATAAAGTCTACGGTAAATTTACCCATCATTCCATAGTCGCCATTCCGCTCTCGTCCCATTTCTTTTCAAATTTACACATCTCTTATAAATTTTCATATCTCTTACCTGCCATTCACTACACCCATACTATTAACGTGCTTGTTCGTTCATTCAGTATTTCTGCGCCGCCGTCGTGTCTCACAAGCTCCGTTCTTCCCTCCCACAGATCGCCTTCGTCTCTGCATCAGTTCTCCTTCTGGTCGCCGTCCTGGCATCGCACAACGGCGTCCATGCGAGGTCCGTCGTCCCCGAAGGCCTCCAGGAACTCGAAATTCCTCGTCAGGAGAGCGACATGTTCGCCGTCAGAAGAAAGAGGCAGGTCTTCGACGCCTCGTGCAAAGGGGTGTACGACAGGGGCCTCTGGGCCAAGCTCAATAACGCGTGCTTGGACTGCCAGAACATCTATAGGGGGAATCCGGCCATTGAGGGGGAATGCAGGTAAATAGATCTTGCATAGCTGTCAATAGCCGCATGTACACACACACATGCATGCACACATACATGTACTTGCACACACAAAAGTACTTGCACACGTAATTGCACATTTACACGCCCACTGCACAGCACAGATATACAAGCAGAATAAAATGGTATTCACATCGACAATATAACTCGTATGGTGCGCTTGAAATATACTAAACATTGTGCTTTCTTCTCTCCAGGCAAAACTGCTTCGGTACAGAGGTCTTCTACGGATGCATCAAGGCCTTAAAACTACCCACGAAAAATTACTTATACTTTGCCGAAGTCTTGAGAGAAAGCTAGTGTGTGGGAACAATTTATAACTCAAGGTATGTATTGCGGGAGTTGTGGTGCTGAAATTGTTGTTGATTTGGTTTTAGATTCTAGTTTTGGGTTGTATTATAAGATCGATATTTTTGGTTTCAAATTCAGATTCGAGTACAGCCTTACTTCATCATTTCATGTTTATATATTTGCTACATTATTTATATTTAACTGATTCTCTACTAGATATCGATGAACAAATAAATAACGATATGTATCCAATTATCTCTAATACCAATTTCACTTTTCTTTCCAGGATTAGTCATGAGAAATCGTTGCAGCTGAAAAAATATATATCTTACACTCGCAATCCCTCCATAAGCGGTTATATACTCTACCGGATTGCCAAGTCCCTCGTTAAAGAAACCAATTCCTTGCTGAATTATTTTTCCAGCGCAGCAACAACAACAAAAGAATTTCTGTTTATCTCGCGCAGTGATGTGGAGTGTCTGGTGGTCCATTGGAGTGACGTGGATCGGTTTCTTGGAGTATTGGGGTTTAACTGAAAGGTCTTTTAGAGAAATTACGTAAGATTGGAAGGATGGGAAAATCTGCAGGAGACTGTGGTGGTTGGAGAAATTGCACACGAGTAGGATGAGCGGAAAATGGTTCTGGAAAGGAAAGTGGAAGATGGTGTAAATATATAAAGTGAAGACGACATATTGGAGAAAGGAAGAAGAGAAATATAAGCGACAAGAAACGAGAGAAAGGAAGAAGAGAGATATAAGCGGCAAGAAACGAGAAGAAGGAAGAGTAAAAGACCAGGAAGGAGAAGTATATAGAATAGACCCCAAGAAACGAAAAGAAAAAATGAAGATGGATAAATGGAAACAAAAACCGAAGTGAATCATTCTCTTCATTTATTCGGAAGTGAAGAAAAGAAGAGACGTGACAGTGAACACGTGAACTATAAGTATTATCGGCCATTATTTACCATATCCTGTATCCTCATTGGGCATTCCTCGAAATAGGTTAGGAAGACCGATATTGCTGACGTCATCCACGGCAGTTGGCAAAGCACTTTTTTAAAAATTCGCGATAAGATTATAGTTTCACTTCGTCTTTTTTCATGAATTGCATTTAATACGTACATACATACATGCATGTGTGTATATATGTGTACATATATGTATACATGCATGTATATTTTTCATGTGTTGTTCTAGTCTGATATGATTATAATTGTTTCATATTTTTGTACCTGCTTTACATATTTAAATAATTTATGAATTAGAAATATAAGTACACTAATTTTGTTGACGTATGAATATTATTTTCCCCCGACAGTCATAAACATGAAATAAACTTGCTAGAATTATTTTATATCAAAATAAATGTTTGACAAAATTCTAAGACTATACGAATGTACTTTTTAGAGACTTTCCCTCCCAAAGGAAATAATGTGAATAATATTGGAAAGTTAATAAGTTATTTAATGAAATATAACGGAAAATAAGCAGAAAGCATTTATAGGGAAAGAAAAACAATTTAAAGGTATTTTTTCATCGCAAATTACTTGTTTGTCATAGAATATCCAAAGTTGTTTTTTTATCGACGTATGGGTATGCATATAGCTATCTATTTATCTATCGATTTATCTGTATATCAATTATCTAACTCTTCATATCGATCAATCTCTCTCTCCCTTTCACTTTCTCCTCCCTCCTCCACTCCCCTCTCTTCTCTCTCTAACACTTTCCCCCACCTCCTCTCTCCCTCTCCCTCGTCTCTCCTCTCATCTCTCTCTCTTGCTCCATCTCTCCTATAGTAATACTATATTACTAGTATTATAATATTATGTACTACTCATATATTTACTCACCGCCCTATTCTATATTTACTTAGTACTATATATAACTACCTCCCACCTCCACCTCTCTCGTTTATCATCCTAATTCTATCTTTAATGATCACCCCTCTCTCTCTCTTCTATCTTATCTACTCTCATCTACTCTAGTCCCTATACTATCTATAATCTATCTATACTCTATATCTATACCTTCTATGGATTCTACTATCAGTTATCTACCTCATACTATCTACTATCTATCCTTATCTTCTATCTATCTATATATCTCCTATGTATATATGTTAATAAGATACGTATACCATATATATATATACATTATAAACCACACCCACCCTATATATCTACACCCAACGCCTTCGTCGTCATCTTCTCTCTACCTATTCGTTTCCCTCTCTTGAACGCTTAAATTCTTACCTCCCAGCCTCTTCTTTTCTTCGCTCACTCTCTCCTCTCCTATCTATCTATCTACCTATCCTATCCTTGCTATCCTTAGTCTATCTCTCTAATCTATCATACTCATATAATATACTACTACTCACTACAATATATGATCGTATGTAATACTTTATCGCTCGTCTCTTCCCTCCCCTATCTAAGTATATTTTTCAATCCCTCCCCCCTTCACATTTTATTCTCTTCTTCTCCTCTACCCTATCATCCTCTCACCACTCCCGACTCAGTCCTGTCCCTTGCTTATCGTCATACTCCATCTGGCCAGTTTATTTCTAGGTTCGGTGTCGACTAATTTTCTTTTGGCAATGGCTGAAACATTCTTCATCATTCGCTCTTTTATTTCGTTACCCTTTTTGTTTATTTATCTATTTATTGTTTATTGATTTATTATCGTATCTATCTATCTATTATTTTATTTTTTTATTTATAATTATTATCATTCTTTTTTTACTTTACCTTTGCAGTATCTAATTCATCGTTTGATTTCGTCTGCATACTTTTTGTTTTATTTATCTATTTATTATTTTATTTCATTTATTTGTTTATTCTATCTACTTATTTATTTTTATTTTTTTGCTTTAGCCTTTGCTATTCACGTGTACCTCCCACCAAACGTATATTTGCCTTTTCTTTCTCTAAGTGTGAAATGCCTGCAATTTTTAAAAACTATTTCTCATTGTCTGTTCCGATAGATATTTTTCCTCTTTTCCCCTCTTTATTACCCAAGTTTCTGCCTTCATAAAGTATTACGGGTTTTGGACCATTTTTTATGCTTTCATTCTCAATTTTAGTGGGATCGTCTTGTCTAGGATTACATCAAATCCTTCTTTCGATTTTCTCCAGACTTCCTTTATCCTCTGCTGTACTGCCTCCTCCGTCTTAGTCTAGTGAAATCTGTTTTTTGCAATTGAGTAAATTCACTAAATTGTTCCAACCTTGTCTTTCTTGAATTGCTTATATCTCTATGTCTTCATCTTTCTCTCTCCCTTGTCTGTCTGTCTGTCACCTCTCTCTGTCTCTGTCTCTCTGTCTGTCCTGTCTCCTGTCTGTCTCCTCTGTCTGTCTGTCTGTCTGTCTGCTCTCTCTTCTCTCTCTCTCTTGTCTCTCTCTCTCTGTCTCTCGTCGTCTCTGCTCTCTCTCTCTCTCTCTCTCTCCTCTCTCCATCTCTCCTCTCCTAATCTTAAACTGTTCCATTCACCTTGGTCTCTCTAATTAACCTTTTCTTCTTACTCTTGTTCTTGCATTGCTCTACCTCCACTCGCCTCCCTGTATTAATTTCTAGTCCTCATTCCAACGCCCTTTTCCATTCTAAGTATCTCTTCTGCAATTCTTCATGTCTCTGCTGCAGTTGCAAAATCGTCTGCAAATGATAACCCACATTTCGTTCATTTTCATCTTCTTGTAGGTTGTCTAAAAGTATTTCAAACAAAAAGGAACTAAGAGCCGAAAGGAAGGGTTCTGGTCTTCTAAACTTTGTCCTTATCACGGTTTTTCTTGTCCAGGTACAGTCAGACGGCCGGCATGTTAAAATTGTGCCAGGCCCGACCCAATGAATTTTCATAAATAAAGATGCAGAAATAAAGGTATATCTGTCTATATATCTGATAGATACACATTTAGCTATCTATTTGCCGGGTTGATATGCATGTCTAGCCTGATAGATATGCATCTATTTCTCTATTTTGCATGTCAAGGTATAATCGAATATTCTTTGTTCGGGCCTCTAACAAACGCGGCAGAGAGACAAAGTCAGCGTCGTGGTTTTGTCCGAAGACTGAATAAAACCCCTTGAAACAATATGGAAGATTCGCCTGTAATATAGCAGTGGTTTGATTACTTGGCTTATGTTTTCGCCAAAGTTCACGACACTATTGTTCTTGCGTGTACGTAGCTCTTATGATACGTGTGAGGTGTTCTTTGTCTTCTAAGGTCTCAGTGCAGCATGTCTCTGAGTACCCTGTCGTACGCTTTTTGTTCATAAACCATAATATAATAATCTATTTTGCCCGCCAAAAGCTTTGTCACGTGATAAAAATTTGCATCGTTAGGGCTCTTTTTTGACATAAATGGTGCTCTCTCTCTCTCTCTCTCTCTCTCTCTCTCTCTCTCTCTCTCTCTCTGCTCTCTGTCTCCTCTCTTCGTCTCTCTCTCTCTCGTCCGTCTCTCTCGTCTCTCTCGTCTCTCTCTCTCTCTCTCTCTGCTGCCGCTTTCTTCCGTTTTCCCCCTTTCGTACCTCCTCCATAATCTTCAGCAGTGTAGTCCAATAACTTTATTCATCTCGTTAAATATACTTACCCACACACACACACACACACACACACACATACACATACACTACATATATGTGTATGTGTTCACTACATACACGCGTGCGCATGTTCACACACCATATTCCTACAGAGCACTACACCTGGTGCGTGCGTGTGCGTGAAATAACGGAAGTGATCGATCCTCCGCGTGCATGTCTGTCCATGCGGAAGACCTCATGCAACATAGCGACAACATACGCCGCGACCTCATAAGTGGCACCATCCGGCAGCGCAATTACAGATACTGAGAAACGGTTCGGTTAGGCTACCTTGGCGAGCGGGTCCCTGGCCACTTCGACGCGCCGGGCCGTTGGTGCCTTTTTGTTGTGGTGTGTTGTATATGAGCATACACATCACAGTCACTCACACACACAACACACAACACGACACACACACTTATCACACACACGGTCCCCCCCCACACCATCTCACACACACATCACACACCCACAATCAACACCACACACACACCA